TTTGTTGTATGCTTGCAACAGTGGTGAATTTCCAAATTTTTCCCTACCGGTGTGCGCGCATGTGCCTAAGGCACGCTTCGCGTGCATGCACAGGACTCAAATACTGACCTCTGTCAAGGCTGGATAGCTGCCTGAAGTATTTTTTTTAAGCTCAGCTGAGGTGTGGCAATAGCGCGAATCAGCTAAGCTTCATGTGCAGGTGTGTGCGGCACAAATACAGAGCTCTGTCAAACCTATTGAATGGCCTGGAGTGTTTTTAAGCTCAGCTGAGGCACAGCGATCCACTCTGCCGCATGAATCAACTGTGCTAAAAAAAAACACCAAAGAAATATATGAGAGGTAACGGTGGGGGTGGGGGCAGGGCCAGCAAGAGATGGTATTTGCCAGTCAAAATTTTTGCTATCCGTATGCCAGAACTGGTCCGAACTGGCCGAATACCACATCTGCTTGCAAACCTTTCATTGCCTGATTAGGTCATGTCATCAGTACAAGAGAGTGTGGGGTTTGCTCTGTGTTTTATATACAGTAGCTTGCCCTGGCATCTGGTTTTGTGCTTGGTTATTTCTTGATTAGGTGTTTTCTACTTCACTGTTTGTCTGGTGTTAATCCCTGCTTATCTGGGTGTTGGCTGCTGGAAAGGGATGTGTTCTGGCCTTTTTTGTTTCCTTCTTAGCTTTGTTATTGAGCGGTGTGTAAATAAGCTTCATCTCTACGTGCCTGTTGATGGCTTCATGGATGATAGGCAGAAGATTAGTGGTGCAGAAGTACAAATACCAACAACATCTCTTAAATATCACAACAAATGCCAGACTCATAGTTTCAACTGGGAAACTGGGAGCCATCCTAGAGATGAAGCCAAATCTCAGAACACCAGGAGATTCCTGGAAGCCTGGCATTCAAATACCAGCCAAAAATAGACACTGCTCTTCCTCACTCGAGATTCACGGCGTCTTTATAAGCATCACTCAGCTGTCTTTAGGGTGACCAAAAGCCTGTTGTTACTACCATGATACCACCAGTTCTTGGTTGACTGTCTCAAGAAGACCACATAAATTACCGGGAGGAAATGACTCAAGCAATGGGGAACTGTTTCTTGGGGCACCCTAGGCCAGGAGTAGAGAACTGATGCCCCTCTAGATGTTTCTCGTTCTCCAGTTCCATCGTGTCTTTTCCAGCCTGGTTGCCCCTGCTTGAATTGATGGTCCAGGAACATCTGGAAGAGGTCCAAAGTCTTGTATCGCTGCCACAGTCAGAAAGTGTGCTGTAGCTGTCCCCCCTAAAATAAGCTAATGCAGTTCTAGGCGATAGTAGTGCTACATCCGTGTAGAATACTGCGTCCAGTTCTGGTCACCATAAATCAGAACAGACGTTGAGACCAGTGATGGGATTCAAATATTTTTACCACCGGTTCAGTGAGCGTGGCTTGGTGGGCGCGCTTTGCACGCGGGCACACACTTTTTTCATGGGTGCGCGCACCAAATGTGCCCTTTGCACAGGCACAGAGGCATTTGTGCAGGCGCAGAAGCGTTCTAACTCACCTCCTGCAAGCCTGCACAATCCCGGTCGCTTCAGCAACTGCCGCACGGCACTATTCTGTGCCGCGTAAAGCAGCTGTGCTACAAATTCAGCGGATAAAGGTGATATGGAAGCCCGGGCGGGTGGGTAGGCCCAACAGCAGAACGGTGGAGAGAACTGGGTCATTCTCCCCTCTGCTCATCATTGCTAGCGGCTCGGCAGAACCGGGCCAAACCGGTAGAATACCACCACCGGTTGAGACCCTAGAAAAGAGGCACAGAGAAGAGCAACCAAGAAGAACAAGGTCCTGGAAGTAGACCCATATGATGGTTGAGGGAACTTGGCGTGTCTCGTATCACGAAGAGAAGGATTAGGAGTGACATGAGAGCAGTCTTCCAATATCGGAGGGCGGCTGCCACAAAGAACAGTGGGTCGATCCGTTCTCCAAAGCACCTGAAGGCACATCAAGAAGCCGCAGATGGAAACTCATCAAGGAGAGAGGCAACCTGGAAAACTCAGGAGAAACTTCCTGACGGTGAGGAACAATCAATCATTGGAACGACTTGTCTCCAGAAGTTGTAAATACTCCCAACACTGGAAGTTTTCAAGAAGAGACTGGACAGCCATTTCTCTGGAGTGGGATAGGGTTTCTTGCTTGAGCAGGAGGTTGGACTAGAAGACCTCTAAGGACCCTTCCAACCCTCTTCTTCTATGTTCTAATCTTGTATCTAATAGTCCAAGCACAAGATGAGCATCGAGGCATCTGAACCTTAGACTGACACCTGGCTTCCGTTGCTTTGTTCCTCAAGACCCATTAGACCATTAATATAAGAAGTCCACACATTGAAATGAAGCATGGCCACAATATTCTACTCTTCCTTCTTCGGCGTGGGGTGGAGTCACCGAGATGATACACAACCTTAATATGTGGTTACGGTCCCTTATCCCCCTGTTCCTTCACCCTTGCCCTGTAGGCTTGGAAAAGGAACATTAATACGTCCCCTTAAATGATGCTTTCTCCTTTCGCTTGGTTATTGAGATGGGAAAAGAGGATATAACCTTCTCTCCTCTAAAACTTAGAACCTCATTTAAGACCCAGTTGGGTCTAGTCTAGTGGTTAAAGCACCGGGCTAGAAAGAAGGAGACTTTGAGTTCAAGTCCTCTCTTAGGCATAGAAGCTGGCTGGGTGATTTTGAACTAATCACCAGGAGACAGTGAGTTCTAGTCCCGCCTTAAGTATAGTCAGCTGGATGACTTTGGGCCAATCACCAGGAGGTGGTGAATTCTAGTCCCACCTTAAGTATGGAAGTCAGCTGGGTGACTTTGACCCATCACCAGGAGATGGTGAGTTCTAGTCCTGCCTTAATTATGGAAGTCAGCTGTGTGACTTTGGGCTCAATCATCAGGAAACTGGGAGTTCTAGACCCACCTTAAGTGTGAAAGCCGCCTCGGGCCAATCACCCGGAGATGGTGAGTTCTAGTCCTGCCTTAATTATGGAAGGCAGCGGGGTGACTTTGGGCCAATCACCAGGAGATGGTGAGTTCTAGTCACACCTTAAACATGAAAGCTGGCTGGGTGACTTTGGGCCAATCACCCGGAGACGGTGAGTTCCAATCCCGCCTTAAGTATGGAAGTTGTCTGGGTGGTTTTGAGTGAGTCCCTCTATCTCTGTGGTTGTAAGTCGAGCGCTACCTGTACAAAAATTAGAGGTGATAAATTGGTCATATGATATCTATCCTAAAGTCACTTTAGCAGGGCTGACCATTAAACGAACGTGAACCGCTCAGGGAAGGAACTGAACACGGGTGCAAAACTCCGCAGGCGGCCGAGGTGGCTTTGTAAGACACCTGTCGTCCATTTTAGCTCCTGCTTTTTTCCTCCCTCTCTGCGAATTACCAAATTCCAGGGGCCGCACGTGTGGCTATTTCTCAGCGTGCGTGCAAAATGTCAGATTGCAGGAATTAAAAATGTAAATGACGGCATCTAATTAACCAGTTGACAGCGGAGCGCAGCTGCCGGTGATAGTGAGTGATTACCTTCTGCAAATCCTGTCCTCCATGGCCCAAACGTACTTAAAAGCCAGGGAGAAGCGGGGGGGACACCCCTCCCCAAATGACAGTCTCCTGAAGACGCCCAGGTCTCTGCGCGTAAATCTTCACACTGCATGAAGGTGGTTTCAAAGGCCTCTTGGCTACCGTGAGGTGTTGCAACTCAGACCAGACACCGACTGAATTCTCAAGCCTGCTTATCAAAGTTTCTCTGATTTCTGTACAGGTGAGCTCTCCACTTACGACCAAAAGTGGGACTGGAATTTTCATGGTGAACCAAGGCAGGTGTTAAGGGAGCAGGGCCCCGATTGGATGACCCTTTTTTGCCACGGTCGTTCAGGGTCTCCCCACAATTGTTATGTGAATCATATGGTTGTTAAGGGAATTGACTTCGCCTGGGAAAGGCCGCAGATGGAGATCACATCACCCCACGAGGCTACAACCATCGTAGATACACGCTAGTTGTCAATTGTCTGAATGTTGATCACACGATGTGGGGTTTTCTGTGGTACGGTGGCCTAGAGGTGGAGCTCTGGCCTCACCATCAGGAGACTGTGAGTTCGATCCTAGGTAGAGGCAGATATTTTTCTCTCTCTGGGCACGATGAGAATAGATCTGCCGAACAAAACTCCGCATCAGCGACAAGAAAGGCATCCGGCCAGTAAACACTCAACTCCATTCAGTTGCCCAGACTCCACCCCGATGCAAGGGGTTATGAGGTCCTTAAAAGGAGATGATGAGGTGGGGATTCTGTCACAGTTGTAAGGGCAAGAAACTGGTCGTGAGTCACTTTTCACAGCGCCATTGTAACTTTGAATGCCAACTAAATAAACTGTTGTAAGTCAAGGACTATCGGTGGTAGCTTCTTGCCTTGAGAAGTACCGGGGTAGCTCTCGACGTACGACCACAATGGAGCCCGAAACTTCTACGTTCATACTTACACTTGTTTTCCTCATACATGCTTGACAGACTAAATTAAATAAAGAAAACTAAGATGATTAAAGACAAAAGCATATGAAGAATGGTTGTAGGATTTGGGTTCAGCTAGTCCGGAGAAAAGAAGGACTAGCGGGGGACCTAGACCAGTCTTCCAATATTTGAGGGGCTGCCACAAAGAAGAGGGGGGGGGGTCAACTTGTTTTCCAAAGCACCCGAAGGCAGGATAAGAAACAATGGATGGAGAACAATTAAACAATTAAACAAGTGGAACTGCTTGCCTCGTGGTGAATTCTCCAACACTGGAAGTTTTAAAGAAAAGATTGGATAACCCTTTGTCTGAAGGGATATAGGATCACTTGCTTGAGCATAGGGTTGGGCTAGAAGACCTCCAAGGTCCCTTCCAACTCCGTTATTCTGTTATTTTTACATCTAGCCTGTTTTTTTTTTGTTAACGGGGTTCTCACTTTTTTTGCTTTATTCCCCTCCAGGTATTACTCAGATATCGGCAAGATGCCAGCGATTAGCGACCAGGATATGAATGCTTATCTAGCCGAGCAGTCGCGCATGCACATGAATGAGTTCAACACTATGAGCGCACTCTCCGAGATCTACTCGTATGTGGGCAAGTACAGCGAAGAGGTGAGCCTGGGGCGGTGAGGGCCGCGTGTGCCAATGGGTGAACTAACCTTTAGTTGTATCCTTCAGCCCGTTTTACGGATTTCTTAAGACTCGGGGGGCGGGGAGTAAAAACAAATTTGGGTTTTGCAATTGGTGTATCCTTTGATGACGAGCATACATGCCTGCAAATCATTCCATGGAGTCATCCAGAATAGTGTTTCTCTACCTCACCAATTTAAATGGGGGGGGGACTTAACATGGCTGCCTGGGGGAATTCTGGGAGTTGAAGTCTCCCCAACTTAAAGTCGCCATGGATGAGAAACACTGATCTATACCATAAGAATTGGAAGGGACCTTGAGGAGCATCGAGTCTGTCTATATGTTGGTTGGTTGGATGGATGGATGGATGGATGGATGGATGGATGGATGGATGGATGGATGGATCATGGATGGATGGGTGGGTGGATGATGGATGGATGGATCATGGATGGATGGGTGGGTGGATGATGGATGGATGGATGATGGATGGATGGATGATGGATGGATGGATGGATGGATCATGGATGGATGGGTGGGTGGATCATGGATGGATGGATCATGGATAGATGGATGGATCATGGATGGATGGATGGATCATGGATGGATGGGTGGGTGGATCATGGATGGATGGATCATGGATGGATGGGTGGGTGGATGATGGATGGATGATGATGGATGGATAGATCATGGATGGATGGATCATGGATGGATGGGTGGATCATGGATGGATGGTAGATGGATGGATGGGTGGATCGTGGAGGGAGGGAGGGAGGGAGGAAGGAAGGAAGGAAGGAAGGAAGGAAGGAAGGAAGGAAGGAAGGCAGGCTTGGAATTTTGGGTGTATGTATGTAAGTAGGGAGGGAGGGAGGGAGGGAGGGAGGGAGGTATGGAAGGATGAATAGATGGTTGATTGGTCTGGAATTTAGGATGGATGGATGAATGGTTGGATAGATGGATGGATGGATGGAAGGAAGGAAGGAAGGAGGGAAGGAAGGAAGGAAGGCCTGGGATTTTGGATGTATGTATGCCTGTATGTAGGGAGGGAGGAAGGGATAGTTGATTGATTGGTCTGATATTTAGGATAGAGGGATGGATGGATGGATGGAGGAATTGTTGGATAGATAGACGGAAGGAAGGCCTGGAATTTTGGATGTATGTATGTATGTATATAGGTAGGTAGGTAGGTAGGTAGGTAGGTATTATGTATACCTCTTAGAGAGTTGTGGTAGCACAGTGGTTAGAAAGCAGTGTTGCAGGCTAGTACTGCTGACTGCCAGCAATTTGATCCTGACCAGTTCCAGGTTAACTCAGCCCTCCATCTTTCCGAGGTGGGTAAAATGAGGACCCAGATTGTTGGGGGCAATATGCTGACTCTGTAACCCGCTTAGAGAGGGCTGTAAAGCACTGTGGAGCGGTATATAAGTCTAAGGGCTCTTGCTATTGCTGTTCATCCCTACTTAATTGGATTGCAGTTCACTTCAATAGATCAGTCATGACTGCATGTTTAAGCACTTGCCCAAAAGCTAAATTTAAATAATGTTACCATTGGTCAAGGGTTCTGTATAGTGTGTGTGTGTGTGTGTGTGTGTGTGTGTGTGTGTGTGTGTGTGTTATTTTGACAGTTTAGTATATTCTATGAACCCAGCAAATTGGGTCAGGGTGTGATTTAATCTGTTTTTCCTACCACCAAAATGAACTCACGCAGACCAGGTCAAGCGTGTTAGAGATGAGCAGGATGACCATAAGCTAAATGAGCAAACTAGGTTTGCAAAACCCAGGAAGCAGGCCAACTTTGTCCAAACACCCGCCTTCAACCTTGCTGCAAATGTAGCTAAAGTGAAACGCCATGATCTGTTTTGTTGATGAACCGCTTGTGAGAACATAACGATTCTAGGCTGGTTCCTCTCTTGACTCCTCCTTCAGGTTCTGCTTCTCCTACAGCAATGATGGCGAACCTTTTGGTTGTGGTGTGCCTAAAGCACACATGGGTGCTGGCACCCACAATACAATGTGCCTCACCCCCCGTGCATGCACGCACAACACCTCCAACCCCGCCCCATTACCTGCACTGCACATGCACGCACCTCCCAGCTGATTTTCAGCCTGTTTGAGGCCCTTTTGGCTCTCCCGGAGGCTCGAAGGAAGCCTCTGCAGCCTCAGGAGGCCGGGAAAATGGGCCCGTTTCGACATGTCCGGTATTTCCGGAAGGCCCATTTTTCAGCCTCCCGAGGCTGCAAAGGCTTCCTTCGAGCCTCCGGGAGGGCAAAAACAGCCTCAAATGGGCCGAAAATCAGCTGGGAGGTGCACGCATGCGCAGTGCGAGTAAATTTGGCTGGGGTTCGCGCGCCATAGGTTCGCCATCACGGCCCTCCAAGCTTACCCTTATGGGTACCTTTAAGAGAGATCGTGTTGAAGACCTTCCCATTTTTCTCTCTCTCCTTTCTCCGTTCCTCACAGATCCTTGGAGCCCTCAGTCAGGACGACCAAGCCGGAAAGCAGAAGCTTACCTACAAACTTGAACAAGTTATAACCCTCATGAGCATAGACAGCTGAGAACTTGCCCCGCTTAGAGGGACTTTCCAGGAGGGATCGACACAAAACAAATGAACAAAAAAAGAACTTTCACACACACACACACACACACACACACACACAAATACAAAAAAAAAACCAAGCCGTGCCTCAGTTCAGTTTTCATCAAGTGCAAGTTTCCAACTGGCTGCCAAGGAGAGTTGCCAGAAGACGCCTAGACGTCTCTGAGCCTCACCTGCTGGACCTACCAACACCAAGGAACTGGTCCTCCAGGATTTTGAGGGACCTCTTCACAAGAAGGACTCCCCGAAGACAGGGAGGGTTCAGGGTGGAGTCCCTTGCAGGTTCCTCCTTGGTGGCAACCAGAATGTACCACTGCCTGCTCCATTGAAACCGAGCAGGAGTAACGTTGGGGTTCACCTCCATCATGCTTTGCTGCTTTGAGGGCACGCCCTCCACGGGCTGAGAGGAGGCCCGGGGGTTCATTCAGAAGCTGCGCCAAGGGAGAAGTTGCTCTCTTGCCCTCGGAAGTCCCACCGTTGTGGTTCCGGGGAGGAAAAAAACAAACCAAGAAAAACAATGGCTGCCTCTCCTCGATCTTTGTCCTCACGAAGAGGAACCAGGAGGAACATCATGGAAAGAAAGGCCCTCAGGGACCTGTGAACCAAGAGGACTGTCCACCAATCTCTGGAGATTGGGTGGAGAAGGGAAGTCTGCCTTTTTCTCTCTTCCCCTCTTCTGATTTTCATTCGGTTTCCTTTTTTTGGTTGGGTTGGGTTGGGTTGGGTTTGGTTTGGTTTGGTCAATCATGGTTACTTTCGTTGTCGTGGAAAGAGAACTGCTCTCCCAAGCTTGAGTCATCTATGTGTCCCCACCTGTTCCTTCTCTGGTTACTAAGCAAGGGGTCTTCAAACTTGGCAGGTTTTAAGACTTGTGGCCTTCAACTCCCAGAATTCCTGAGCCAACATGACTGGAGGAGGAATTCTGGGAGTTGAAGTCCGCAAGTGTAAATGCTGTCAAGTTTGAAGACCTCTTGAGTTACCTACTTGAACAAGCCCTCCAGATCCTTTGCTTCCTCTTCCAAAACCAGCCATGGTGTATTTGCTGAGGGAAAGTCAACTCAAGTCGTGGCCTCTCCCTGAAGACCCTTTCCAAAGCGTAACTCCTGTTTTCTCTCTGGATCGCCTTCCTCAACCACAAGAGCACAGCCAAGACCCAGAAATAAGAACCGGCATTGGAGATAACGTAGAGATCCTAGGACGGAATTGGAGGGCGGGGAGGTGAAGATAAGAGTTTCTTCTTGTGAGTCATCAGGGACGTGGTGGCTCAGTGGCTAAGACGCTGAGCTTGTCGATCAGAAAGGTTGGCAGTTTGGCGGTTCGAATCCCTAGTGCCGCGTAACGGAGTGAGCTCCCGTTATTTGTCCCAGCTTCTGCTAACCTAGCAGTTTGGAAGCACGTAAAAAATGCAAGTAGGAAAATAGGGACCCCTTTGGTGGGAAGGGAACAGCGCTCCGTGCGCCTTCGAAGGCGTTTAGTCCTGCCGGCCACATGACCACGGAGACGTGTCTTCGGACAGCGCTGGCTCTTCTTCGGCTTTGTAATGGAGATGAGCACCGCCCCCTAGAGCTGGAAACGACTAGCACGTAGGTGTGAGGGGAACCTTTGCCTTATTGTGAGTCATTGGCAGGCATTTTTGGGTTGCGTTTCCCAACAAAATGGAAAGTTACAAAGGCCATAATATCATCTACCCAATTTGCTGCCAGATCTTTCTCTGTGAAGGCATCATTACAGCTAGAATAAATCAATCAATTAGAATAGAGCTGAAAGGGACCTTTGAGGTCTTCTAGCCCGCCCACCCCTACTCAAGCCAGGAGATCCTATATCACTTCAGACAAGTGGCTGTCCAGTCCTTTCTTTAAAAACTCCAGTGATGAAGCATCTACAGTTTCTAATGGCAAGTTGTTCCCCTGGTTAATTGTCCTACCTGTTAGGAAGTTTCTCCTTAATTCTGGGTTGCTTCTCTCCTTCTCTCCTTAGTTTCTATCCCTTGTTTCTTGTCCTGCCCTCTTGTTCTTTGGGAAATAAATTGACCCCCCTCCTCTTTGTGGCAGCCCCTCCATTATTGGACTACTACTATCATGCCTTCTTTTCTCTAGACTAGCCAAATCCATTTCCTGCAGCCGTTCTTCGTATGTTTTGGTCTCCAGGCTCTTCGATGATTAGGTCTCATCTCAAGTGCTCTTCTCTGCCCTTGTTCCAAAGTCAGTTTGGACCCATGAATTTGTCCACCTCCCCCCCAGTCAAACCCATGAGTGGATTTTTCACGAGTGGATGATAAGGGGGGAAATCGGGAAGGTCTCCCTCCTCAAAATCTGTAGGGCTTTTGCAGATTTATCCTTGACACCACGTGAAGGACAGTAGAATCGGTGAACCTTGTCTTGGCTTGGTTCTCAAGAGCGGTTCATAGATGCTGGTTGTAACCAGGGTGGGATTCAGCCGGTTTAGGACGGTTCGGGCGAAAACTGGAAGTTAAACTTACATCCGGTTTGCCGAATCGGTCGTTGAACTGACCGGCTGGCCCCGCCCACTCCACCCCCACCGCTCCCAGGAGTTTCCATGGGGGCCTGTTTTGGCTCTGGGAGGGAGAAAATGGGCCTTTTGGAATCCCGTTTCCAGCTTCCGGAGGGCCTCCAGACTCTGGGGGAGGCTGTTTTTGCTCTCCCAGAGGCCCGAGGGAAGCCTCCGGACTCCGGGGAAGGTGAAAAACAGCCCTCCCAGAAGTTCTGGTAGGCCACGCCCACCGTGGCCACGCTTACCCACCAACCAGGCAGCAAACCGGTTGCTGGGATTTTTGAGTCCCACCTCTGATTGTAACCCCACAATCAAGGTCCTGTCCCCCTTCTATGTCTCAGCCCTTCGAGATAGTACAGACTTTGGCCTCAAAGATACGCATCACTAACGCTATTCCAGAGAGTCCTTGACTTACGACAGTTCATTTAGTGACCGTTTGAAGTTATGATGGCACTGGGGAAAGAAAAAAGGGACTTTACAACCGTTTTTACGACACTGAGGACCATGGCAGCCTCCCCTTAGTCACGTAATCAAAATTGAACCGCTTGGCAACGGGTTCATATTTAGGATGGCTTACAGCATCCCAGGGGTCACATGATCCCCCTTTTGCGATTTTCTGACAAGCCGGGAAGCCCCGATTCACTTAACAAGCGCGGAACTAATGGAACAGGGGCAGCGGTTCGCTTAACAAGGGTAGCGAGAACCGTCATGACGTGGGGCGAAACTCGCTTCACAAAAGGTCCCAGCTTAGCAGCATAGATTTTGGGCTCCGTTAACGGTCGTAAGTCAAGGACTCTCTGGGCGATGAAAGGGAAGCCAGAGAAGGAATTGCAGAGAGATCCACCTTGGAAGAGGGAGGGATAAACGGGTGAAGGAAGCATCCGCGGAGAAGAATGTGTGGAGAAAACAAAACCCCAACTGACGGAGGGCAGCTCTTGAGAGAATGACAGGACAGAACAAGGCCTCTCCCAAAAGGTAGTTTTAAAACCGCCGTTTGGGGTCTCCGAGTTTGGGATTCGTACAGAGTCCACTTTTTATTTCAACTTCGAACACCTCAAGGGAACAGGCAGAAGAACGCGATTCCCACGAAATGGTCAGAATATAGGAAGGAGTTGGACTCTCTCCCATCTCTTCGGAGTTTTTTTTTTCACTCCTTTCTTTTTTTTTTCTCATTGGACCTGGGAGATGCAAACAAATCTTCCTTAGGGCTTGTTTTATTTCTGGGTCTTAGGCAGGATTGAGATTGTCTCTTAAAGAATCCTTTTTTGAATGAGGGAATATATGGCTTTCTCTGTTCACATTTCTGATTTCTAATTCCTTCCTTCCCTTCTTCCTTTCTCTCTTTATTTTCCCTTTTCCCCTTTACCTTTCTCATTTATCTCCTCCCTCCCTCCCTTTCTTCCTTTCCCTTCCTTCCTTCTCCATCCCCTTCTTTATGTCCCTTTTCTCTCCTTCCTTTCTTCCATTTTCCTTCATTCCTTTCTTCCCTCCCTTCCCCCTTCTTTTACCTTCATTTCTTTCTCTCCTCCCTCTCTCCCTTTCTTCCTTCTTCTCTACTTCCTTCCTCCTCTTATTTACAT